GCACAAGTGGTGCTGTATGCACACCCGTGTGCATCAGCCACTCAGGCAGCCCAGTGGTGAATAGGCCACGGACCGGTAGTGGGCCATGGCCCACAGGTTGGGGACCCCTGCTGTAAAACACGGAAGCGGTATATAATAATAACAACAACAATAACAACAATAATAAAAGTTGGAAGGGACCTTGGAGGTCATCTAGTCCAACCCCCTGCTCAGGCAGGAAACCCTATACCATTTCAGACAAATGGCTGTCCAGTCTCTTCTCAGAAACTTCCAGTGTTGGAGCATTCACCGCTTCTAGAGGCAGGTTGTTCCACTGATTAATTGTTCTCACTGTCTTTACTGTCCTCTTCAGTAAACTAGACATCCACAATTCCAGCAACTGTTCTTTATATGTTTTAGCCTCCAGGCCCCCTAATCATATTTGTTGCTCTTCTCTGCACTCTTTCTAGAGTCTCAACATCTTTTTTTACATTGTGGTGACCAAAACTGGATGCAGTATTCCAAGTGTGGCCTTACCAAGGCATTGTAAAGTGGTATTAACACTGCATGTGATCTTGATTCTATCCCTCTGTTAATGCAGCCCAGCACTGTGTTGGCCTTTTTGGCAGGTGCAGCACACTGCTGGCTCATATTTAAGTGATTGTCCACCAGGACTCCAAGATCCCTCTCACAGTTACTACTATTGAGCAATACCTATACTATACCTGTATATTTGGTTTTTCTTGCCTAAATGTAGAACCTTACTTTTTTCACCATTGAATTTCATTTTGTTAGATAGCGCCCAGTGTTCAAATCTGTCCAGATCCTCCTGTATCTTAAGCCTGTCTTCTGGAGTGTTGGCTGTTCCTGCCAGCTTGGTGTTGTCTGCAAATTTGATGAGTTCCCCATTTATCCCCTCGTCCAAATTGTTGATGAAGATATTGAAGAGCTCTGGGCCCAGAACAGAGCCCTGGGGCACCCCACTACACATTTCCAGCTCCATTGAGGACCACACGCTGAGTACAGCCAGTCAGCCAGCTATGAATCCATCTGGTGGTGATGCTGTCTAACCCACATTTTTCTCTTATCAAGTAGTAGGTTGTGATCTACTTTATCAAATGCCTTACTGAAGTCCAAGTAAATTATATCCACAGCATTCCTCTGGTCCATTAATTTTGTCACTTGGTCAAAGAATGCAATAAGATTTGTCTGGCATGATCTGTTTTTGACAAACCCAAGTTGGCTTTTAGTAATGACTTTGTTTGCCTCTAGGTGTTCGCTGATTCGTTGATTATTTTTTCCAGAATCTTCCCAGGTATTGAGGTCAGGCTGATAGGTCTGTAATTTCCTGGATCTACTTTTTCCCTTTTTTGAAGATGGGAACTACATCAGCTCTTTTCCAGTCCTCTGGTAGTTCCCCAGTGCTCCAGGATCTTTGGAAAATATAGTTCAGTGGTTCTGAGATCACATCTGCCAGTTCCTTGAGAACCTTGGGGTGTAATCCATCTGGTCCTGGTGATTTGAACTCGTCTAGGCTGGACAGGTGCTCATTTTCTTGCCTATCTTGTGTTTCTAATCTGTTTTTTATGGTATTGTTTTTGATAGGTTGGACTGTTTTTTCCCTTTGTGTTATAAGTGTTTGTGCTATTGCTATTTACAATGGTCACAACATCCTGTGGTTGTGTGATTGTCATTTGTGACCTCCTTAGTCAGGTTCCAACAAGCAGAGTCAATGGGGATGTTGGTAGGGAACGTTGCAAGTTGTGGTCACGTGATGGTTTCACTTAGTGACCACTATGATTTGCTTAACTACAGCACAAAAAGTGGTAAAATCAGGAGCCATCCTGTGATGCCTCACCTAGCGACAAATTTTTCAGTCCCGATTGTCATTGTAAGTCGAGAAACCCATATTGCTGATTTAGTTAACATGGTTTGATGGATTCTGTGTCACGGCTTATGCTAGGTAAGAAATAGTAAGTGAAAATTCTTGGGGCGTTGTTTTCTTTTTTTAAAAAAATAATGTTTCAATAAAACAGCACAGAAAATGTCCTTATGAAAAAGGGCCTGTCGACTGTCCCAATATGTTAGCCAGCAAAAGAAACTCCTGTGACTTTTTTTTTTTCTCTCCAAGAGAAAAAAACTGAACAATGTGGGTACAGAAGTGGAAAAGCCAGTTCTAACATTTCGCGCACAAAAAGCATAGTAGCACTTAGACTTATATACCGCTACACAGAGCTTCACAGCCTTCTCTAAATGGTTTTACAGAGTCGGCATATTGCCCTCAACAATCTGAGTCCTCATTTTTACCAATCTCGGAACCTTGAGCCGGTGAGGATCGAACTGCTGGCAGCCGGCAGTCAGCAGAAGTAGCCTGCAGTACTGCATTCTAACCACTGCACCACCATGGCACTATGGCTAAATCCCCCCCCCCAAAAAAAACCCATGGTCCTTTCTCTACACCAATCAGTTGTACCTCAGTTGTTATGAGAACGATGTTTGGCTTGGACATTCTCAGAGTGGTGACCTTTCGGGGGGGTTGGAAGTGTCTCAGGCTTCCAGGCAGCACACTTGCATTCCAGAGTTTCCCTCCCAAACCACCCTCATGTTCCAGTGCCTTCCCTCCCACTTTCCATTATTGTTGTCTGGTTGCGAGCATGCTGCGTAGCGAGTCAGCCATGACAGTTGGGTTACTTTAAGACTTTCTGAGCAATAAAGTGGCTTGAAATTACAACAGAATAGTACACTGGGGGACATACGCCTCTTCCGCCGAGCCCTAAAGACCTATCTGTTCCAAGAGGCCAGTCTGGCATAAATCTGAAACTCTACAATTTTAAATTGGGTATAATTTTATATTATTATAGTGGGTTTTAGGACAGGACAAATAATTTAATTAGTTTTAAATATTTTTAAATATTATGGTATTGCTGTTTTATTAATGTGCCTGTTCACTGCCCTGAGTCCAGCAAGGGAGAAGGGCGGTATATAAATCAAATAAATTTGAATTTGAATTTTACACAGCAAAATAGAATAACAGAGTTGGAAGGAATCTTGTAGGTCATCTAGTCCAACCCCTCCCCAAGCAGGAGACCTTACACCAGTGATGGCGTAAGGTCTCCTGCCCAAACTGCAACCCAAAACCCACTTATGCATCAAGTGCCAGGTGGGTGTGGCCCATTGGCTGGGTGTGGCCAATTGGGTGGGCGTGGCTGCAGTGGTAATGGCAGACTGGGTGGGACTAAAAAGTTCAATCAATCCCAACTTTGCAAGAACTTTTTTTCCCTGCGAGTTGAAATTGACTGATTGAACCTTCTTTTTTTTTTGCACATGGCGGTGGAGGCCTAAAGCGAAAAGGTTTTATAAAACCCAGCTGAAGGCCTAGGACTGGGGCGACGACGCGCGTGTCCACAGAGAGGGCTCTGAGTGCCGCCTCTGGCACCCGTGCCATAGGTTCACCACCACTGCCCTATACCATTTCTGACAAACGGCAGTCCAGCCTCTTCTTGAAAGCTTCCAGTGATGAATCTCCCACAACATCTGAAAGCAAACTGTTCCATTGGTTGATTGTTCTCAGTCAGGAAATTTCTCCTTATTTCTAGCTTGAATCTCTCCTTGATCAGTTTCCATCCGTTATTGCTTGGCTGGCTTTCGGGTGCTTTGGAAAATAGGTTGATCCCTTCCTCTGTGACAGCGCCTCAAATATTGGAATACTGCTATCATGTCTCCCCTGGTCCTTCTCTTCAGTAGACTAGCCATGCCCAGTTCATGTAACCGTTCTTCATGTGTTTTAGCCTCCAGTCCCCTGATCATCTTTGTTGCTCTTCTCTGCAATTTTTCTAGAGGGTCAAAAAATTTTATAGCGTGGAGACCAAAACTGGATGCAGTATTCTAGGCATGGTCTTACTGAGGCTTTATAGAGTGTTATTAATACCTCACATGAGCTTGATTGAATCCCTCTGTTAATGCAACTTAGGATTGCATTGGCTTCCGCCACACACTTTGGACTAACAATAACAATAATTAACAAATCCAGATCTGTTTTTCCCCATGTTTCCACTTTTTTAAGTAAAAAATGTCTGGGTTTTGTGTGGTTTTTTTTCTCCAAGCAATAATAATGGTTCAACCTGGGAGGGGTTTGTAAGAGAGGTCAGTTTTTGGAATATCCCAAAGATGCTTTTTCATGAGGCAACTGGACTTTCTTGTTTTTCTTTGAAGAGGTTTCGCTTCTCACCCAAGAAGCTTCTTCAGTTGTGACTGGATGGTGGGGAATGGAAAGATTTATACTCCTTGCAGACAGCTGGTCATTTGCATTTTTTTTAGAAAGTCGTTGAGGTCACTTGGGGGTTTATCTGTGTCCTCAACCCATTTGCACACTCAGGTGACCTTGAGGACTCAGACAAACCTCCAAGTGGCCTCAACGACTCTCTAAAAGAAGGCAAATGACCAGCTGTCTGCAAGGAATACAAATCCTTCCATTCCCCACCATCCGGTCAGAGCTGAAGTTTCTTGGATAAGAAATGAAACATCTTCAAAGAAAACAAGAAAGTCCAGTTGCTGCCTGAAAAAGCACCTTTGCGACACCAGCCATTGCATGCCTTTCTTGTCTTCAAGCATAACAACCACTTTCTAGCAGCTGCAGAAGTGAGAGAACCCCAAACCCTATGTGACAAAAACAGGTCCTGAAAGCAGGAAATGACGTTAAGGAAATTGAATTATTATTATTTTTTTGACAAAGATGACGAGGACGGAGCATATGAAGGAAAAGGGCAGTCAGGCATGTAAATTTATTTCTCATGAATGAAGGTGAACATATATATCCCAGGATGAAGTTGAAGGATACAATCTGTATCCCGGTGACCCAACCAAATTAGATCCAGATTATTTCCTTGGCCGTTTGTCAGTCCTCTCCCCAAGGGTGAACCCGTCAGCTGACGTCGAAACTTTCCCCGTCTTCTGCCTGCTTGTAGGATGTCTTTCCCAGATGAATTCTGCGATGACTGTTGAGGTGGACCTTCTGAATGAACTTTTTCCCGCAGACTAGGCAGACGTGGGGCTTCTCTCCCGTGTGGATCCTCTGGTGCCGATTGCAGTGAGATCTATAACTGAACTGTTTCCCGCAGTGCAGGCATTTGTAGGGTCTCTCGCCGGTGTGGCTTCGGTGATGAACGATGAGACCCCACCTTTCAAAGAAACGCTTGCCACAAACCTCGCATTTGTACAGTTTCTCCTGCGTGTGACTCCTTCGGTGACGGTTGAGGTCGGAGCCCCGCATGAACCGTTTCCGGCAGTCGGGGCATTCGTGAGGCCTCTCCCCCTTGTGGGTTCGCCGGTGAGTGATGAGATCTGAACTGCAGAGGAAGGATTTTCCGCAAATCAAACACTTGTTCTGGGTTTTCCCTCCAGCGAGGGCCCTCTGGTTGAGGACACGGCTTGGGCTAGAGATTTTCCTAAAGATATTAGAGCTTCGCTGTCTCTTGCTGGGTTGGCGAGTCCCCAGCTGGCCTGCACGTTCACGGGCATCTTTGCAATCACCTTCACAAGGCCTGGCTTTGTCCATTTCCTTGGTGGACTGCCTCCTGTTTCTCTGATTGTGATCCTTGGAGGTGTTTTCCTGTATGTTACTTGAGATGGTCTGTTCAGCATTTCCTTCGGACAGGACAGACAGATCCCCTTGACCTGCATCTTCTGTGGTGTATTTTTCCTCTTCCACTATCACCGGACACCATTTGTCTGCTAACACAATGAGAAATGTTAGGAGAAACTTTAGAGATCAAAATTGAGGGTTTTTTTGGGGGGGGGGGGGTCGAGGGTGTGCTTTCGAGCCAGGGGACTGGAAGCTAAAACATATAAGGAACGGTTGCTGGAATTGGGTATATCTAGTTTAATGAAGAGAAGGGCTACGGGTGACATGATAGCAGTGTTACAATATCTCGGGCTGCCACAAAGAAGAGGGAGTCAAGCTATTCTCCAAAGCGCCTGAAGGCAGGACAAGAAGCAACGGATGGAAACTAACCAAAGAGAGAAGCAACCTAGAACTAAGGAGAAATTTCCTGACAGTTAGAACAATTAATCAGAGGAACAACTTGCCTCCAGAAGTTGTGCATGCTCCAACACTGGAAGTTTTTAAGCAGAGATTGGACAACCATTTGTCTGAAATAATCTTCTAGTCCAACCCCCTGCTCAGGCAGGAAACCCTATACCATTTCAGACAAATGGCTGTCCAGTCTCTTTTTCAAAACTTCCAAAACATCAAGGGAAGATGATTTTTTGAATTTTTGCACCATTCTAGGAAGGTGCAAGTGATAATAGAATAAAATATAGAATAGAGGAATAGGAATAGAATAGGGGAATACGAACAGGAACAGGAATAGAATCGAATGGAATCGAATAGAACAGAGGAATATGAATAGGAACAGGATGGAATGGAATGGAATAGAATAGAATAACAAAGTTGGAAGGGACCTTGGAGGTCTTCTAGTCAAACCCCCTGCTCAAGCAGGATACCATTTCAGACAAATGGCTGTCCACTCTCTTCTGAATGTTACACAATTTTTGTTTCTAAGCTGCGGTGGGCCTCCTGGATGAATCTAGGGAGAGCCCACAGTCTCCCCCCAAAGTTTCCTCATATCAAATACAGGTAGTCCTCAACTTACGACCTCAATTCAGCCCAATTTTTTTCTTTCTTAAGCGAAACGTTTGTTAAGTGAGTTTCACTCCATTTTACCACCTTTCTTGCCCCAGTTGTTAAAAGCATCACTGCAGTTGTTAAGTGAGCAACGTGGTTGTTAAGTGGCTTACCCCATTGACTTTGCGTGTCAGAAGGTCGCACAAGGGGATCCCCTGACCGCGGGACACAGCAACTGTCCTAAATATGAGTCAGTTGCCAAGTGTCTGAATTTTGATCACATGACCACGGGGAGGCTGCAACAGTTGTAAGCGTGAAAAACGGTCGTGTGAAAAATTGTTCCACTGCTTAATTGTGCTCACTGTCAGGAAACTTCTCCTCAATTCTGGGTTGCTTCTCTCCTTGATTAGTTTCCATCCATTGCTTCTTGTCCTGCCCTCAGGTGCTTTCGAGAAGAGGTTGACCCCCCCGTTCTTTGGGGCAGCCCCTGAGATACTGGAACGTCGCTATCATGTCCCCCCTCGTCCTTCTCTTCATTAAACTAGACATACCCAATTCCAGCAACCGTTCCTTATAAGCTTTAGCCTCCAGTCCCCTAATCATCTATCTTTGTTGCTCTTCTCTGTACTCTCCTTCCAGCTCAAGACACTCGTCTCCAACCAGACTCCAGATGGGAAGGGGAGCATCTCGGGCTATGTCCAGCGATGGCTCCAAAGAAGGAGAAGGTCTCCCTGCTTACCGACCATCTGGGCCTCAGCCTCTTCTTCTGCCTTGATTTGTGGGCACCCCTGCCTCTCTTCACTGTCTGACGGAGGCTGGATCCCCAGGGAACGATACGAGTCCACTACTGCCTCTTCCTCCGACGGGGCCTGCAGCAAAAGAGGCCTTTGTCAGAACACGTGTCCCAGGGCATGGACCAAACTGACGGGCATAAGTCAAGGGCTGAGCCGCCATCTTTTCCTGTGGGGGGGTGAGAGACTGTCTTCTATGGAGAACAACAAATGGCTCAACAATGGCTACGCTAAACCTTTGTGGGGCTCCAGCCAAAGTTGCAGATTATCATGAGGTAAATGGATATATAATAAATAACTAAGTAGTCCTCGTCTTAAGACCACAACGAAGTCAAAATTTCTGTTGCTCGCTGAGACCTCTGTTGGGTCAGTTTTGCCCCATTTTATGAGCTTTCTGGCCATGGTTGTGAAGTGAATCACTTCAGTTGTTAAATGAGTAACACGGTTGTGAAGTGAATCTGGCTTTCCCTTGAACTTTTCTTGTCAGAAGGTCGCAAAAGTGGTCACATGACCCTGGGACACTGCAACTGTCATAAATACGAGTCAGTTGCCAAACGTCTGAACTTTGATCACACATCATGGGGATGCTGCAGTGGTTGTTAAGTGTGGAAAATGGGGATGAGTCACTTTTTTCAAGGTCATTGTAACTTCCAACGGTCACTAAATGAACTGTTCTAAGTGGAGGACTACAAGTATTCCAAGTGGCTCACATGGATCTATGTGGAAGTGCCCAAAGTCTAACTTTCTGGAGCTAACTAGGTTTGAAATTGGAACTGCTACAGATCAGTTGCTCAAATTGTTGTAACCATTACCCATTCAATAATCTTGTTAAAGAAGACTTGGACAAGATGTTGGCTGCCCTTGACCTCAACTAACCTCACAACTCACAACTTTTGGAGGCAGGTTGTTCCACTGATTAATTGTTCTAATTGACAAGAAATTTCTCCTTAGTTCTAGGTTGCTTCTCTCTTTGAACAGTTTCCATCCATTGTTTCTTGTCCTGCTTGAATAGTTGGACTCCCTCTTCTTTGTGGCAACCCTGAGATATTGGAACACGGCTAATGTCACCCCTCATCCTTCTCTTCATTAAACTAGACATACCCAATTCCAGCAACCGTTCTTCATATGTTTTAGCTTCCAGTCCCCTAATCATCTTTGCTGCTCTTCTCTGTACTTTTTCTAGAGTCTCAACATCTTTTTTACATCATGGCGACCAAAACTGGATGCAGTATTGCTAGTGTGGCCTTACCAAGGCATTGCAAAGTGGTATTAATACTTCACGTGATCTTGATTCTATCCCTCTGTTCATGCAGCCTAGAACCTCAGATCTCTCTTTCAAATCTTGGAATAATCCCTGTCAATTCAGGTCAAACCCTGGGCACCATGAGGTCACACCCTCACCTGTTGTTCTTCTGCCTTGGTGTATCGCTGCACGTTCAGGTATTCCTCCGCCAGACCCACCGCCTGGGAGCAGTTCTCGGGGTCCCGCTCCCTCACCCAATTCTGCACTTCTTGGGGCAGGATGTCCAGCAGCTGCTCCAGCACCAGGGTCTCCAGGATCTGCTCCTTGGAGAGTCTCTCCACCTTCAGCCACTCATGGCAAAGCGCCTGCAGCCGGCTGTATGCCCCCCGCGGACCCTCAGCCTCCTGGTAGCAGAAACACCGGAAGCGTTGGCGCTGCTTCTCCCGGTTCAGGATGTCTCCAAACAAGATGGCTGCCTTCACTTTCCCATAATCCTCTTGGTCTGGCCTTGACAGCCGGCGATAAGCTTGCTCAGCTTCTCCTCGGAGGGCGGGCAGCAACCTGGATGCCCACTCCTCTGTGGGCCACTGGCAGGCCTGGGCCACCTGCTCGAAGGAGCCAAGGAAGGCCTTGACGTTGTCCCACGGCCAGGGCTCCTTGGGCATGGTAGGGCCAACCTCCCACTGGGCCTCACCATGAGGAAGGAGACCTTCACCTGGTTCCTCTTTCACCTGAGGATGGGTCGCCATCCTTCGCAGACCCTCCCAGATGCTCTCGGTCTGGATGATGGAAGGGACCCTCCCCACTCTCTGCAAACTCTCAGCTGTCTAGGCTGAGTTTGTTTCTTCCAGCTTCATCCCTGTTTGCTGGTCTCACAAAGATGGCGGCTCTGTAGCAAAATCCGCCAGATTGCACTGCTGGTTGTGGTGGTGGAAAGTACTTGAAGACGCCTGAAGTTTCCTAATGTGATGTGACAAGCAGCTTCCTGCCAAAAAAAAAAAAAAAAAGCCAAAAATACATTAAGCCACAATGTGATCACTTTGGGGCTTAGTAGGTTTCAGCTGTCCCCATTGTGGTTTATTTATACCATGCTTGCATGACCTGATAGGTAAGTGGCCAATAAGTGATTAAAAAAGGTCAAGTGGCCAATAAATAATTAAGCAAAATAAAACTATTTTATTTGCCTGTATGCTTCCTCTCCATTATGAAGCGCCACCAAAGGCTAACAGAAAGAAAAGCAGATCTTTTTCTGTTATTTAATCTTGACATTCTAATTCCTACTTTTTCTCCCCACTGGGTTATGTTAGGGGGCGGGCATAATAATGGCAATATATTGACTAATGGAGCCTCTGTGTTAAAAAGGAGTCTACCTTTGATATCCATCTCTGGAGGGCAAATGGAGGAGTTCTTAGGATTCCCACTGTTGGAAACTGCTACAGAGACATTTACATTTCTACCACCGCTCTACTCTTACAGTTTTGCGGATCTATTTACAAGTAAATCCAGTTTCATTCAATGAGAGTTATGTTTTAGTTAGGACTACATGGTGCAATATACTGCAGTACACGACCACAGGAAAGGGATAGCTGCAATCTAATTTAGGGACTTTCCACTGTCCATGCCAGATGGGGACACTTGAGCTATTACTCAATCCACTTTCGACAATCTCAAAAGCTAAGCAGGGTTGGTTTTGATTAATGTTTAGACAGGAGACCACCAGGAAATTAAAAAACCAAGCAAATTGGAATGATGCATCGGTTTGTTCCTGACCCATCCAGGATTATTTTCCCCCTCCCAGTGGAGGTCATCCAAATTCTACACCCCTGCATAAGGACTCCCCTAACAGATTGCAACCTCACCCCAAGTGGAGATTTTCCTTTAGCATAACCAGGTTTAACATTTTCAGCACAGTTGAGCTGAAGCAATGCAAGACTCACTATCTTCCAAAGCATTTCTTTTCCAGGCAAGCAGAATACATGGATGTTCAAAACTACCCGTCTTTTTTAAACTAGCCCTCCAGATGAAGCCTCTGTGAAAATGATCTAGGGATTAAATCAGTTTTTCTCAACCTCAACAATTTTAAGGTGAGTGGACTTCAACTCCCAGCATTCCCTCACCAGTATTATCAGCAGGTGCTCATGCAATTTCCTGTATAAATGATTTTATCTCTTCTTTCTTCACATTTATTATTTTTTAAAATATCTGGGATATCTAGATCAGTGGTTTAAACCTAGGTCATTTTAAGAAACGTGAACTTCAACTCCCAGTTTCTCATCCAGCATTCTAGCTGGAGAATCCCTGGAATTGAAGTCCACTCATCTTAAGAACAGAATACTTTTTTTGGCCAAGTGTGATTAGATACACAAGGAAGTCTATGGAGATTCTCAGTCATCCAGGTGACAGTTATTATTTGTCTCTGGTGCAGAAGCTCTCAGTGTGTACACGCAAAGCAGCAGAGTAATAATAAACATAATAATGATGCCAATAAGAGAAAAGATAAGAAGGATAATATTAATACTACAGCCATACAACATAGGTGTAAATATACTTGGACATTAGACAGCACTGTGAGGATTAAGTGTTCAGCAGAGTGATTGCACAAGGGAAAAAACTGTCCATGTCTCAAAGATGTTTTTTTTTAAAGGAGGCAAGAGGACTTTCTTGTTTTTTCTTTGAAGAAATTTCGCTTCTCATCCAAGAGGCTTCTTCAGTTCTGACTAGATGGTGGGGAGTGAAAGGATTTATATTCCTTGAAGACAGCTGGTCATTTGCATTCTTTTAGAGCAGGGATGTCAAACTCGCCGCATCATGTGATGTGCCACAACGTATTGCGACTTTTTCCCCCCTGCCGGAGCTGGGATAGGTGCAGCTTCCACACGATGCATCTGGCCCGCGGACCAGCTGTTTGATGTCCCTGTTTTAGAGAGTCGTTGGGACCATTTGGAGGTTTACCTGTGTCACCTGAGCAGTGCAAATGGGTGTGGAGCCTTCTTGGCTGCAAGATGTTTTTCTGCCCTGGGTCCCTTCACTGTTGAAGATAGGCATAGGTTGTTGGGGATGAGTCTGTGTTGCACAAATGGTTCTTGTAGAAAAAACAAGAAAGTCCAGTTGCCTCTTGAAAAAAAAAAGCCCCTTTGGGGGCTGACTGAGAATCTCCACAGACATGTCCCCGTGTCTAGCTGTCTTGGCATGCAGTGCCCTGTTAGTGGTGTCCTGAGGGGAGGAGTTGAAACGGTTTATGTGCAAGATATGAGGGGTCTGTTGATATTTTCTCAGCCCGCTTTCCGACCCATACAATATACAGGTCCTCTACGGAGGGCAGGCTGGTTGCAATGGTTCTTTCTGCAGTCCTAATTATAGGTCATCCTTGACTTACAACGGTTCATTTAGTGACCGTTCAAAGTTACTATGGCATTGTAAAAAGTGATTTAGGGCCGTTTTTCACACTTATGACCGTTTGCAGCATCCCCACGGTCACGGGATCAAAATTCAGATGCTTGGCAACTGAATTGGCAACTAGTTATGATGGTTGTAGTGCCTTCAGGGTGTGTGTGTGTGTGTGATGTGATCCTCTTCTGCCACTTTCTGACGAGCAGTCAATGGGGAAACCAGATTCCCTTAACAACCATGTCACTAACTTAACAATGGCAGTGATTCCCTTAACAACAGTGGCGAGAAAGGTCGTAAAAGGGGGCAAACTCACTTGACAAATGTTTCCCTTAGCAACGGAAATTTTGAGCACAATTGTGGCTGTAAGTCAAGGACTACCTTTATACGTTGGGAGTCTGTACTTGTTCTGTTTGGCTGCTGTAGCCAAAAGTTGCTGAGGTCGAGAAATGCTGGATTCAACGGGAGAAGAAAAGGAGAGAAACCCATTTTGGAAATGCAAGACCCCAAACCTCTAAAACGCCCCCCCCCATTGCAAATTTGCCCAATCCTCCCCCCAGCACCCAGCCAGAAAAAAAAAAGTTGCGGTGCTGCCTTTGAAAAATTGGGAGAAGGTTGGGGATATTTACTAAAATGTCCTACTCAGTGTAGAGAAGAGGTGGGGAAACTATGGCCCTTTTATGACTTGTGGACTTCAATCCCCAGAATTCCTGAGCCAACCATGGTGGCTAAGGAATTCTGGGAGTTGAAGTCCTCCAATCATAAAGGGGCCGCATCGAGCCATGGCTGGCTCAGGAATTCTGGGAATTGAAGTCCACGAGTCATAAAGGGGCTATAGTCCCCCCCCCCCAGTCTAAAGTGACTGGGATAAAGCGCTGCCACTGCAGCCAGGGACTCCCCTCCCCTAATTTTCCTCTATACAAAACCGGGGGCGATTTCTGGAGACTTACGCTGTCCCAGCGGTGCGGAAAGACTATCACCATTCAGTTCAGGTTCCTCTGTTTGACCCCCTTCTCCCGCCTCCTCCTTTTTCTCCAGCGGCAGAGAAATTCAAAATCAAACCCCCACCCCTTACCGGAAATGCTCCGCTCCTGCTTTTCCGTTCTAGGAATCCTAACTCTATTGGTTTTAACCCTTGAGTCTTTGAACTGGTTCTGGAAAATCCATGCAGGGCTGGTGTTCGACTCCTGACCGTTAGCAGCAGGCATCTGTGCAATTTTCCTTGCAGAGAAATTCAAAATCAAACCCCACCCCTTACCGGAAATGATCCGTTCCTACTTCTCCGTTCTAGAAATCCTAACTCTATGGTTTTAACCCTTTAACTGGTTCTGGGAAATCCATACAGGGCTGGTGTTCGACGCCTGACGGTTAGAGTAGGCATCTGTGCAATTTTGCTTGGAAATGATTTTACCTCTCTCTTTCCCACGTTGTTTATTATTACTTTATATTATTATTATTATTATTATTATTATTATTATTATTATTATTATTATTATTATTATTATTATTATTATTATTATTATTATTATTATTATTATGGATCATCGCACAGTCAGCCAGATGTTCAGACTGGATTTGGCATTTTGTCTACCTATTGAGTCCTTTCCCAGGACCTGGGATAGGCAGATGTGGATGTTTGATGGTATTACAGATATCATCGCAGGATGGAAGCAGTTCCTAGTAAGGCCGCCTTTTGCAATTGACTAATAGCGAATTTGTCAATGCCGATGGTGTTCAAGTGGTGCTCCAGTTGTTTTGGAATTGCACCTAAGGCGCCTATTACTATTGGTACTACTTTTTGCTTACTTTTGCCACAGTCTTTCTATTTCTATTTGTAGGTCTCTGTATTTTGTTATCTTCTCCAGTTCTTTCTCGTCTATTCTGCTGTCTCCAGGCACTGCCACGTCCACTATCCAGACTTTTTTGTCTTTCTTATCGACAATTGTTATTATTATTATTGTTGTTGTTGTTGTTGTTGTCGTCATCATCATCATCATCAGAACAACAATATAATAACAATAATGAAAATAATGATAATAATGATAATGATAATAATAATAGTTTCTTACACCTCTGTCAATCTTCGGAATATCTAGATGAGTGTTTTTTTCCCCAACCTTGGTCACTTTAAGACTATGGACTTCAACTCCCAGAGTTCCTCAACCAGCATACTCAACTGGAAGATCCTGGGAATTGAAGTCCTCATGTCTTAAAAGCTTTTGAAGATCTAGCTATGACCTGGAGGACATAGATAAACCTCCCAATGGCCTCGATGACTCTCTAACAGAATGCAAATGACCAGCTGTTTGCAAGGAATATAAATCCTTCCATTCCCCACCATCCGGTCAGAGCGGAAGAAGCTTCTTGGATGAGAAGCAAAACGTCTTCAAAGAAAAACAAAAAAGTGCAGTTGCTTCATGAAAAGCATATTTGGGACTATGACCTGGAATGAGACTCTCCATAGATTTCCATGGCTAAATGGGGATGGGGGGGCAGGTTCTAATGCAGCATTTTCACTCCTAGAGCACCCTGGTTCTTGAGCTGAGAGGGCCTCGCTTCTGCAGCTGATGGGAG